TATATATGTTGTTGTTGTTATGTGCCCTCGAGTCGGACCCGACTCATAGTGACCCCTCCTTGGGTTTCCGAGGCAGTATCACTACAGAAGTAGATTGACCCATCTTACTTCCGAGGAGTGGTTGTTGGGTTTGAACCGCCAGCCTTCTGGTTAGCAGTCAAGTGTCTTAGCCACTATGCTACCAGAACTCCTATATAGATAGATAGGTAGATGCATATAATAGCTTCTTGCATTATTCCCTACATTTTAAATACTTTTCAAAGCAAAACCTCAGTGATGCGATATAATTTTGATTCAGATTCTGACTGGATTTTCCATTGAACATGACAAGCTGGTTGTGTAATTCAGTTGGAAAAGTGAGTAAGACGATTCTGAACAAAAGGAAAGAAAAGCCAGGAGCTCAGGGTCTTGTTCATCCAGGGAGGAGGCTTCTCGAACTTGTTACACTTATATGCTCGTTATGGACTAACTGTCCCCAGAACCATGCGCTGGAGTCCTGACCTCTGTGCCGTGGGTGTGAGCCCATTTGGGAACAGCGTTTTCTCTATTTTGTGAGTGAGGTCATGTGGCTGAAGAGTGGACCCTCAACCCGATGACTTGTGAGTTATGGAGAAAGCAAAGCAGACACAGAAGCCGCGATGGGGAATAACAGACACCACGTGAGGGCCACCAAGCAATGCCGCTGCTCCCGTGAGAAGATAACTGTTCTCTGAAGCCAGCCCCTTGAGATATTTGTGTTACAGCAACACTAGGAGACTAAAACTCAGTGTTAGAGAAGTGCTACAGTTCCAGTGAAGGGCACACAAGGATGTCAAGGTCAGGGGACAGCAAGCCCGTGGTCCCTCTTCCCACGTGATGCACTGGGGGTGCCGCCTGGAGGGCAGAGGAGATGTGGACCACCGTGGCTGTGGCAGGGGCATGCTTTGTGAAGAAGAGACGGGGAGGTGAGGCAGGAACGGTCTGGCCAGGCCGTGGAAGACTGCGGGTGTGCATTAGAGAAACATGAAAACAGGGACCAAGTGAGCTTCCCTAACCACTAGGGCCTCATCAGTGGTGCTGAAGACACATATCTGTCTGCCAATTTGTCTGCTGTCTCAGACAACATCATCCAGAGCTCACGCAGGCCGGCCTCTGACCAGGTCGAGGGCACGACACCTGGCCGCCAGAACACACCTCCTTCCCGATACAGACACCAACAGTGTTCTGCCCCGTTCCCCACTGGACTCAGAACCTTGTCCACTGTCATCTTGGGGCTTTCTCCTCCTTTAACCTTGAGAACAGCGCCCCCTCGCTAGTCCTCTGCTCCCCTGAGGGCTTCTCCTCCTCCATGCCTGGTGCCTGGTCCTCTGCACCTCGGGCTCTCAATGTCCCGTCAACTCTGTGGTGGCCCCTGCTGCTCATTCACCTTCTCCCTGGACGGTGGCAGAGCCTCATGGCCCTTCTGACCGCTCCGTGGCTCTGTCAGGGGCCAGCGAGGCGCGGCCTGGTCCTGCACCATCTTCAGGACCTTTGACCTGCTGAGTCTGCGGTGGAAGCCATGTGTCAGTCCACCTCACTGAAGGCTGCCCGCACTCTCGGTGCCTCTCTACTTACCAAACGTAACGTCCTAGTCTAGCGATTGGTCTTTCTGATGATGTGTCCGAAGCAAGAAGCTGAAGGCTCGCCATCCTCACCTCTAAGGGGCGCTCTGGCTGGATCTCTTCTAAAGCAGACTTGTTCCTCCCGGGAGCGCACAAGATCATCAGTGTTCTTTCTCAGCACAAGTCCAAGGCAGGAATTCTGCCTTCCGTCTTCACTGTCCAGGTGTCACATGCACAGGAGGTGACTGAGAAGACCATGGCCTGGGTCCATACTCCTCCGTCCATATCTCCTGCCCAGACCTGTCTCCTAGACAGCAGAAAGGGACACCCAGCCAGCCAGGGGAAGACCCTGGGGAAGCCACCCCGATGGGATGGGAGCAGCACTAGGGAAAAGCCCCACTAGACTAACTCTCCTGAAGGTATGACATCACTCAGAGCCAGTCATTTCCAAAGCCTTTCAGGTTCAGAAGTAAAGAACGAGGGGCCTGCGACATGTCCGTGGGTCAGAGATACCGCAGCGATGCAGCCACGATGATGCAAAACTCGAATCCCAGATCCCGGATCTGTCTGCTGGAGGCAGACTCCAGTCCCGGAGCTAGAATTCAAGGGACGGACCCGGCTGAGAGGGTGAGAGGCACCCAGACCAGAGGGGTCTGGAATGACAGGGACCTTGGCTGTGGCACTTAGGGCACAAGGGAAGAACTGTGGGCCCCACAAGTTCCGCCACCTAAAACAAGCAACAGGAGGAGACCCAGACAGGGCCCAGCACCAGCAAGTGGGCGCACTGATGTGCATTCCACGCTCAGCCCTCAAGGGGGCACAGCCAAGACAGTGTCACAGGAATGGGCAGAAGACAGTCCCTGTGAGTCGGCCTCAGGCTGCTGACTTCTTCATGGCGCCCTGAGGTACCTTAGCCCAAGACAGTCTGCTGGCACCAAATTCAAATCTGTACCCACGTTTGTTTTCCAAACAGCCCAAAGCAGGAGACTTTTAGGCACCCGGAGCCTGCCTGCTTTGCAAACCCTGTGCAACTGCACCCAACACCTGCTGGTCAGGTTGTGGCGTTGCTGCGTGCCATCACGGCGATTCTGACTCATAGCGACCCTATAGGACAGAGCCAAGCTGCCTCTCAGGGTCCCCTGGGCTGGAACTCTGCGTGGGAACAGCTCACCTGGTCTTTTCGCCCACGGAGCCACTGGTGGGTTTCAACCACCGACTTTGCAGTTAGCAGCCGTGCACTTAACCACTGCACCCCCAGGTCTCCTTAACGAAGACAAACGTGTGGCTCCAGGGCCCCGGGCCACGCTGCCCTGGGTGCCCTCTGACAGAGACGCCGCACCTTCCTGCAGGACATCACAGGGCGGAGACCACCCACCACTCCTCTCCCCTCTCCTGGTGTGCACCTTTGCCTTCATCTCCGTCCGGCGTCTCCGAGCCACCTGTCTCTGGAAGGACCCCTGCTGTGGGACCAAGCCATGCAAGCAGTGGCCAGTGCCCCAGCCCAGGAAACGGGGCGCTGTGCTAGGCTCCCTCGTTGTCCTCCTTCTCTCTGACCAGCCCCAAACTCCCTCAAACCACCACAGGCAGCCAAGTCAAAGGACTTTCTTCTCAGCTAGAGGTCTCCGGCCTGCAGTTCAGAACTGAGTTTATCAAACAGAGTCTGACCCAAAGCAAGGTGCCCGACAAAGAAAACACATAAATATCCTGACGCCTTACCTGGTCCCAAGGGGAGATGGTGCCCCCAAAGCACATGAACAGGTAGCCCATGGCGACGAGGCATGCCCAGATCACCAGGGAGAAGAGACGGAGCAGCTTCTTGAACACGGCCTCGATGCAGACGAGGACGAAGATCGCAAAGAAGATGGCCAGGGCAGTGGGGACCGTTATGAGGAACGCCACGTGGTCCTCGACCTCCTAAGGACAGGAAAACATGCCAAGAGGTTACAGCCCAAGACACCGAGACCAGCCATTACTGTGATCAGAATTTTACCAACACGCCCCACCAGCTGCTCCGCAGATGGGAGACTGGGAGATCTACAGCCTCAGAAACCCAGCGGGGGTCGCCATGAGTCAGAAACGACTCGACGGCAGCGGGTTTGGCTTGGAGTTTGGAATCAGTATCAGAAGACGGTGGCTTTTCAAGAATTACTTCCAAAGTAGAATACTGTGAAGTTGTAAAAGCTTAACTCTCAGTTCCAAAATCATCTTCCTGTACAAACAACCCAACACTGGATGCTTCAATTAATGGATGTAACCTCCATTTTAACTCTTCCCTCATCAGTGGAAAAATGGATTGTATTCAGAAGTGGGAGCAAGAAGAGTGAACAGGGGGATACACCACCCAGAGAAAATAAGGAAGCCCACCTTACCACCTGGGTCAGAGGGTCGGAAATGTTCCATCCTCAGAAGATTAAAGGGATTTCACATCTTCCAAAGGGATCTGAACGGCCCTATTTAAATAAATGCATACCCTCTCAGCCTGTAAAGTGATGGACTTGCATTCTACTCCCTGGCAATTAATGTTCTAACAGGGCCACAGACTAATGGAAAAGGGCCACAGCTAAATACAGACACTGAGAAGATGGGAAACGCTTCGCAGAACAGCCCGCACTATCTCGTCCACTCCCCTCCCTGGGCCTCCAGAAGCAAAAACAAAACGGGCATTTTGATTATTAGCCTCTGAGGAATCATGCCTCTTTCAAAACCTCATTGTGCACATGAACACTGCCTTCCTAGTTACCTCCTTCTGGGTGCATGTACGCACACACATGCGCGCAAACATACGCACACACAGTATCTCAATCCTACACAGTCTGATACAATGCAGTGGGGATGTTTCCTGGACTTAGACAAGTGTGCATGAGGGGCTGGCTTCCGCAAAACACTGCCCTGGGGCCTTGGTACCAAAAGCGTTCACTGTGGGAAGAGACCCGTGTCAGGCCCGTGACACTCACCCAGCATCTGAAACACCCAAAGACTTTAGGTCAAAAACCCCAAACAACTTCCACTGATGTCTTATGATATTGAAATAGTTGGAAAATCTTGGACTCGTGGAATACTGTCAACCTTTCCTGTGCGGACATGGTCCAGCTGGTCCCATTACCCCGGAGACAGCACCCCCAGATCCCAGGCAACCAGCTGCAGGGACGGAGGCAGGAGAGCACAGCGCCCACTAGTCCAGTCAACGCATCAGCGGACCGTGGGCTCAAGCCCCTCCCCCAACCGATCCCATTTCCTTTCTCCCCCACAGTCACCTACGTGCTCAGTGATGTCTGGGGACGAGCCAAGAGCAACGCCAACGACGGCAAAGAAGTCCCTGAGTGACGCAGCAGTCAGAGCGCTCAGCCACCCACCAGAGGCTACAAGTTCGAGTCCACCCCAAGGTGCCACGGAGAAAGCTTAGCAATTCACTTCGAAAATACCAGCCGCTGAAACCCTCGGAGGGAGTTGTACCCTGACACACACGGGGCCACCCTGAGCCCACCAGCGGCCATACCCATCAATGGGACGGTGTCAGGAGAAAGGCTTCCTGTTCTTGGGTGAGTTCTCAGCCTCCTCACTTCTGAGCTAGCAAAGGAGCAGACTAGACACAGACACACACAGGGAAGAGGAAGACGAGGTGTAGCAGCAGCTCCTGACACTGGAACAGACCAGGAGGGACCTTCCCAGAGCCACCCTCCGGACCTGGACTTCTCGCCGCTGAACCGTGAGAAATAAAGGTTATGTCCTTTAAGCCACCCGCCTGAACCACCTGGTTTAGCACTAAGAGACTAAGACATTGAAAAAGACCAGGAGGGACCTTCCCAGAGCCACCCTCTGGACCTGGACTTCTCGCCGCTGAACCGTGAGAAATAAAGGTTATGTCCTTTAAGCCACCCGCCTGAACCACCTACTTTAGTGCTAAGAGACTAAGACATTGATTTCTCTTCCTTGGTTTCGAATATTGTAGTCTTTCTCTGTCTGCCTTTTCTTCTCATCCTGTGGATGCGACTGCTGCAGAAATGGTCGTGTGTGGGCTGCAGGTGATTTCTTCACCAGGCAACCAAAGCAAAACCAAACTCACTGCTGTCAAGACAGTTCCAACTCTTGGCGACCCCTCCTTGGGTTTCTGAGGCAGTATCACTACAGAAGTAGATTGCCCAAGTCTTCCTTCTGAGGAGTGGCTGGTGGGTTTGAACCACCAGCCTTCTGGTTAGCAGTCAAATGCCTTTGGCCCTATGCCACCAGAACTCTCACAATACTCTTAGGGGCTCCTAAGTATTTCTTAATAGTCTCAATTTTAAAGTGTTTGAAAACTGGAAGAAAGTAAATAGGACTTTATAAAAGTTAAATACTTTTGTTCATCAAAGGACTATATCAACAAAGTGAAAAGACAACCTATAGGCTGGGAAGAAATGCCGGGGAACCACGACCAGCAGAGCCTGATCCCTAAAATATATTAATAACAAGCACAACATAACAAAAACACGAACTACCCAGTCAAAAACCAGGTAAAGGACTTGAACAGACATTCAGCAAAGAGGATACTCAAACGGCCAACAACACATGAAAAGACAGTCAACATCATTAGCCGTTGTTTCTGCTGTTGGGTGCAGTCAAGTTGCTTCCAAATCATACACCCCTCAACATAAAGAAAATGAAAATCCTCACAACTGGACTAGTAAGCAGCATCACAATAAATGGAGAAAAGATCGAAGCTGTCAAGGATTTCATATTACTTGGTTCTATAATCAACACCAATGGAAGCAGCAGTCAAGACATCAAACGACGTATTGCATTGGGCCTATCTGCTGCACAAGACCTCTTTCAAGTGCTGAAGAACACGGATGTTTCCTTGAAGACTAAGACGCCCCTAACCCAAGCCATGGTATGTTCAATAGCCTCATATGCATGTGAGAGCTGGACAATGAAAAAGGAAGACCAAAGAAGAGTTGATGCTTTGGAGTTGTGGTGTTGGCAAAAACTACTGGAAGTGTCATAGACTGCGAGAAGAACTCACAAATCTGTCCTGGAAGAAGTGCAGATGGAATGCTCCTTGGAATCAAGAATGGCTGGACTTTGTCTCACTTGCATTAGTCATGTTGTCAGAAAGGACCATTCCCTGGAGAAGGACGTCATGCTTGGTAAGGTGGAGGGTCAATGAAAGAGGGAAAGGCCCTCAACGAGATGGATTGACACAGTGGCTGCAAAGTTGGGCTCGGGTACAACAGGGCTTGTGGGGCCGGCCCAGGAGCGGGCAGTATTTTGTTGCGTTGTACACGATTTGCTATGAGTCAGAGACGGCTCGACGGCACCCAACAACAACAACAGGCAACCCCACAGGAGTTCCTTGGCTGTGACCTTGACAGGAGCAGAGCACCAGATCTTTCTCCTGGAGGGCCACTGGGAGATGCAAATTCGAGCCACAGCGATGACGCATCACCTCACCCCTGGCGCTCAGACACCCTTCCAGCCTAGAGCTGAACTCGCCCCGTACCTCAACTCTCAGCCAAACACCAGGCCCGTAAGATGAAGGCAACACCAGGAAGGAACGCAGTCTTTAGAACAATGAGCCTCACAAGGGCAGCATTTGCTCAGGGAGAAAGCTGAGAGAGCAGCGAGGGGCAGCAGTCAGGATGGAGGGGAGCGGGGACCCTGGGAGGAAGCCGGGAGAGGGCAGGCAGCGCACTGAGGGCCGGGGACCGAACACGCGTGAGCTGCCGAGTGGAAGCCAACTTGCTCTGGAAGCTTCCGCTTAAATCACAGTTTAAGACAGACAGACAGACCGTGGCACCCGGAACGAGTAAGTGCGGGCCGGACCGGAAGAGGTGCGGCGCCGGCAGGTGGGAGTGAGGGCGGCCACCGGTATCAGCAGGAAAGGGCAGCCTGAGTCACGCAAGCGTCCAAAACGGGTGACTGGAAACCAGAGACACCCTGGCCAGACAGACGGGCAGCTGCGGCACGGCCGGCCAGCTTCTCTACGGGGCACAATAGCAAGGGTTCGAGGGCGTGTGCAGCCGGGCCCCCCACGCACCAGCTCTGCCCCGCGGCACGACTGCAAACCCAGGAGATGCAGAAACCGGCTCCGACGCGGAGACCTCAGGCTGCCGGCTCCGGTCGCGCTCACGGGGGCCACCGCGCAGGGCGGCCCCAGGTCTCCCGCACCTTCCGGGCAGGATGGCGCCCTGCAGACGGGACGCTCCTCCCGGCCCACCCGGGAGGTTCCTGGGCCGGCTCTTCCTGGGCTGTCGTTGTCTGGAAGCCACTGAAACCTGCCCGCCACGGGCGACCCAGTTACACACTGTGGACACAGCTCCCAGCATGACGCAGTGGCGAGCCTCCACGCTGAGACATGAATGGTGGGCTCAGGAAAAGGAGGTCGTGAAAGAAAATGTTGGAAACGGGCTTTGTGGACGGCATTCTTCAAAGTACTGTACGCGAGAGATAAGAGCAGAAAAGAAGACAAGGAGGAAGGGCAGGAAGGCGACAGAGTCCAGCACCGCGTGGGTCTGCCAGGCTGCGAACAGGGCCTGTGACTCTGGCCCTATCACCAACTGTAAAGCTTGGGTTCCGGACAGACAGAGCCTGACCGAAACGAAGCCCGCCCAGGAGAGCAAGGCCGCCCAGCGTTCATCACGGACGGGCGCAGGGGCCTCGGCGTCAAAGCCCGGGAAGCACGTGCAACTGGTAAATGCAGTAGTAAATTCAGCGGGACAAAGTGACCCCGGGAGAAGGGACCGCGACAGGATCTTTCTCCTGCAGTCAGAGGCGTACAAGCTGAATGAGAGCCCAAGAGAGGGGCCTGGGACAATAAACGGAGGGATAGAGTCAAGCCAAGAAGCAGGGCTGCAAAACAATCGTGGGCGTGAACACTGACTCCCAAAGACTGAAATCAAACAGGTAAGAGGCTAGTTAGTCCTGAGAAATACTTCTCTCCAAGAGAAATACCAAGGTGACCACCAGCTGCTGGGGACATAAAGCAGACACCGGGCCCTACCACCTTGTCAGGTGCAGGCTGACACCGCTGCTCAGTCCCAAGAAGGAAGTACTTCCCCGTGTCAACACAGAAGTGGTTACCCAAACACCCACTACTGTCCAGTTTATGCCGGCCCACAGCGCCCCTAGAGGACAGAGTGCAACTGCCCACAGGGTCTCCCAGGCTGTCAGTCTTCACAGAAGCAAAGCCCAAACCACACCCACTGCCCTGGAGTCCATTCT